CAAAAAGAACTAAACAGACACCTTACCAATGGAGATACACAGATGGCAAATGAGCACATGACAAGATGCTCAACATTATTCATTAGGCACCACAAATTAAAGCAACAATGAGACCACTGACCTATCAGGATGGTTAAAATCTAAACTGCCGAATTTATTGTTTTATAGCCCAGAATCTAGCCTATCTTGTTTAATGTTCCAATATTCTTGGGAATAATGAGTATGCTGTTGCTCTAATTGGTATACAAATGTCAACTAAGTCAAAGTGGTTAGTAGAAATATGCTGTTGTCCTTATTTTTATTCCTCTGGCTACTTTTAAGCTTTACTGTTAATCGTGGATTTTGAGCAATTATGATGTGCCTTGTAGTTTTCATAATGTTTTCTGAGTTTGAGGTTACTTATTTGTTTACTAACAGTTCTCCATAAATTTGGAAAACTTTTAGCCAATATTTGTTCAAATATTTTTTTTCTGCTCCGACTCACTTTTTCAGGACTCCAAGTACACATATTTTGGACCATTTGAAAGTGTCTTACAGCTGATTGTTCAAGTTGATACTGTGGTTCATTTTATTCCTGATTCTTTTTACTCTAATATTTCATTCTGGAGAGTCTATATCACTATGTCTTCAAATTCACTAATCTTTTTGTTTGTTTGTTTTGGTGGTCTTGTCTGCCAATTCTAATACCCATGACATATCTGGGTTTCGTTTTCCAATTTCTTTGCGTACCTTATAAGTTTTGATTCAATGTCATACACTGTAAATTGCACACTGTTGGGATCTGAATATCTTTGTATTCCTAAAAGTATTTCTAAGCTTTGTTCTGGGATGCAGTTAAATTATACTTGAAAACAGTTTAATCCTTTCAGGTCTTGCTTTTAAGATTTTCAAGGCATGACAAGCTTTGCTTAGTCTAGGCTTGTTTCCCACTATTGAGTAACTCTGAGCACTTTACCCAATGTTCTGTGAATTATGGTGTCTTCTAGTCTTCACTGGTGGGAAACACACTGTTGTTGACCCTGTGTGACTGCAAGTATTAGTCCATCTAATCCTTTCAGGTGGTTCTTTCCTTGGCTTAGGTAGTTTCGTCAGATCATGCTTGAGAGCGGCCTACTGCATATCTCCAGAATTCTCTCTTGGTACTTGCCCTGCAAACTCTTGGTCTCTCTTGACTCTCAGCTCCACCTCTTTAAATCAATGAGTATATTGGAAACTGTGTTACTGCCTAGAAACTCTCTCAAAACATTACGCTATAGCAAACGGGGCTCACCTTGTTTATTTCCTGACTCTTAGGGATGACTGTCCTTTATTGCCCGATATCCAGTTTTTGAAAAACTACTAATTCATACATTTTGTCCATTTTTTGGTTGTTTCAAGCAGGAGAATAAATCCAGTCTCTGTTACTCCATCTTGGCCAGAAGTGGAATTCCTCCATCCTTGACTTTTATTTACTCTAGAAATATTTGAGTAGCTATTACATGTCACGTGCCTCTGGGCTAAGTGGTGGTGATGGAGTACTAGGCAAAGCATAGTCTTATCTCTAAGGTCCTTCTGTACTAATAGGAAATAAAAATATTCTGATTTTTAGATATTTCCTACAACTCCATTTTTGGCCTTCTGCTTTTCTTGCTAATTAGCTTTCTCCTAAAGTTCATCAAGTTTCAAGAATTTAACTACCACTTCTATGTAGATGATTTTTAAGACTATATAGATCTCTTCCTATAAACTCCAGTCTTATATTCACCCACTGCTCATTGTTGGCGATGGGAAACTGATATCAGGGTATTATCTGGGTTCTTCTTGTATTCCCCTACATCTAACCTGTTAAAAAGTCAAGTAGATTCTATCAACCAAGTAATTTCCAAATCCATTTTCTACTATCCATTCTATGTAACTCAACTAACAAGCATTGAGTACCTATTACATTCTAGGTATGTCTATGCCTTCAGCCTTGATCCCTTCCCGTTTATCCTGTATAACATAGGTTGAGTGATCTTTCTAAAGAGAAACCTCATCCCATTATTCCTCTGCTTAAAATCCTTTAATGAGAATTTAATGATTTGAAAATAAAATCCAAAGTCCTTACCATGGTTTACAAAGCAATTAAGGGCACATTCCCTCCCTGTCTCTCACAGTTTGGCTCCCTGACTCACCTTTATTCTTACCCTGTGTTCTAAGAATACTTAAACACAACTCTCCAAATGTATCATGTTTTACCTCAAATCCTTTGTATATATAGTTTACTATGCTTAGAAAAGTCCTATTTACTTTTTTCCCTGGTCCCTTTAGGCTCTTTAAGATTCAGTTCAGACATCTCCTCCAGAAAATCTTTCCAAACTCCCCAATCTGTTTCAAATATATACTTATATTGGTACCCCTTCTGAATATATAATATATATTCAGAAACCCAACTCATTCTAATTTACTCAAAACAGACAATTATTGTAAAGGCATTGGGGTGTTTCAACGATCCAAGCAAAAGAATGCAGGTAAGCCTTAAGAGCTATAATGAGGGACTCAAATGCCATCAGGATTTCTCTCCATTGTCTCCTTGCCCAGTGTTTTGAGTCCTTTCCTGGTATCTTTTCTCTTCTCCATGAATCTTGTCTATTTTCCTCTCTGTGTGTCTGCTTCATTTTTCTTCTTCTCTCTGTAGATTAACTTTTTTGTTATTAGTTTAGTCCATATAATGGAAAAGTAGTTACTGTTACCTCCTCAACATTGTACCTTATGTAATCCAGAGACCTGAAGAGAAACTTATTCATCTTTCTCAAGTTCAGTCCTAAAATTTCCAGTAAAGGACATTGACTGGCACTGCTTAAGTCAGTTGTCCACCCTGAGTCAATCAGGTGGAGCCACGGGGCAGGGTCATGCTTTCACATGGCTGTTCCTGCTGTAATCTCGTTGACTGCAAGTGGAGGGGTGTAAAAGTGGCAGTTGCATTAGATGGAGTTCAGAGCACATAATCCTTAAGGGGGCCACTATTACTTGATTAGAGCCCTATGAATAGTTATATCAGAACATTTTCTATCTCTTTTATAAGAGTTATTTTAGGGCAAGAACTGTGTCTTTCATCCACATAGGCAATGACCAAACAGGGAACATATAATTAATAAACTAACTAATAATAAACTTTTCAAAAGACCAGGGCCTGAAACAAATGAAAAAGCTTACATAATATAATGAGAAAGAGCATAAATTAGGAGGTAAGAGACTATTGTGTTTCATCCTTCGTCAACAGAAATTTTTTATAGTAGCCCTACCTACCTCAAAAGATTATGAACTTTAAATGAGAGAATACCTGTGAAAACATCTTGAAAAAATAAAAATCTGTATACAAATATAAGGTAGCACTATTACTACAATAATCACAAATGTGCAGATAAAGAATTTAAGAACTAACATACCCTCCTGATTAGTGGGAATTAACAACCACTGAGGGTAGAAAATAAAATACAATCACAATGAATGCCAATAAAACTCAAAATAAAGTGAAGATTTTTAAATATCAAAAGCCTTCAAAAATATGAATTTTAAAATACAGAATAAAAGAACATATGCTTTTGCCAAGGGAAAATTAGATTTTATGTATTGTAATTTATGTATCAGAAAGTGTGGTTAAAGTTCAACATAAAGCAAAATGCATATACTGAAAGAGAAGCCACTTTTGGCTTCAGGATTTCATTTTTTTTCTAATCTACTTGGTGAACTAAAGTATTCCTGCCTTATTGAGATATTGCTTCACATGTGATTAAAAACCTTATGCCTAATGCATTTTAAAATGGATATAAGAGAAGCAGTCTACTGGTATATCAAAAGAATTATTCAACAATGACAAGGATCAAATGAGATAATATATGTCAGGAGACATTCTAAATGATAAGGAACTAAGTGATTAGAGACTACTGTAGTTTTTATCAGCAAAGGCCCAGATGCTTCATATTGGGTGGAAAGAAGAGCTTGCAAAGTCTTAAAAGAGAGCTGACAGGACAGGGAAATTCTTGATTGGATAGAAATCATTAGAAAATTATAAAGACCAATGGCATCATATTACTATTTGATTTCGTGTGTGTGTGTGTGTGTGTGTGTGTGTGTGTGTGTGTCTATATTGCATGAAGTGATGGAAGGCAAAATGGACTCTAAGGTTCATTCTTGCTGTTTCCCTAAGAATGTTCACATATTTTTCTAAAAATATATTTTAATGTATTTTTAATGTTCTCCTTTTGATGAAGTTGGAAAGGTTCAGGTGTTTTTGCTGGTGAGAACAGGCTGAAATGACGTTTCCTACAAAAGCTATGGATACAAAGCCAGCTAGAATCTAGAGTAGGGGATGAGTTTTGGATGTAAAGAAAACTTTAGGATGAGTTAGAAAACATAAGTAACAACTAATAATTAAGAAATGCCTATAATAACGTAATTTCTAGGTTATCTTTTTTTAAAAAAATATATTCCCATTGATTTCAGAAAGGAAGGGAGAGGGAGAGACAGAAACATTAATGATGAGAGAGAATCACTGATCGGCTGTTTCCTGCACACCCCCTACCAGGGATCAAGCCTGAAACCTGGGCATGTGCCCTGACTAGGAATCGAATCATGATCTCCTGGTTCATAGGTCGACACTGAACCACTGAACCACACAAGCCAGGCTAGGTTACCTTTTTTTTGTCTCTAAAAAGTATAAGCAGATGGAAAAAATAGTAATTCTTCCTAGTTTTAGCACACTAACAGGAAGCTTGGGTATCTAAATGCCAAGGTAACTGAACATCTGAAGGCTGCATGCCTTAACTGAAGCTCACAAGTATGTGCCAAACAAACCTATACCACTGGAGTGCTAGGAAGAGTCAAGATGAGAGTCATAAATCAGATATTTAGCTCATGCCAAAAATTAGCTGCAATATGCTTGAGACATATTTAAACATTAGCTCAGTTGCTATCATTTACATATAACTAAATATTAGTTGAACTTGATCAACGGAGAATTTCCCCCACTTTTAACTCACCTGTAAGATTCTTTGCAAGATTGATGGAAGTGCAATAAATGCTGCCATGCTGTTTAGAACTTGCATGGTCAAAGATTTCAGAGCTGTTGTAATAAAATGTTGATATTAAGGTTAATTTAGAATAAGAGTGTTTGGTTTTTCCTACAAATCAGTGGAAAATAGATTTATATAGCCTCCTGGAAACTTAGCTAACCAGGGCCAGTTTGATACTTTAAAGTTTAATTACTGCAAAGCTACTATTATTCAAGACAAATGACATAACTGGTGCCATGGAAAGCAATGAACTGAAAGATGAAATCAACACTACAATATCATTTCATTAAGATATATAATAAGAAAATGATACTGGGAAAAAGTATCACAATGTTAGTTTTCAGCAGATAAAAATTGGGTGGTAGTATAGATGGCTCTGATGAACTTACCTTCAGAGTGTAGGTGAGGTGTGGCTGAACTGGACAGCTTCTGAGGGGCCATCATTGCCTCCAATAAGGGAAACCAGAGTGCCTACAATGTCAGAGCAAACCAAAGGAAAACAAAAGTGCTGCAATTTTTTAAAAATATATTTTTAATTAAATTTGAGAGAGAGAGGAAGGGAGAGGGAGAGAGAGAAATATTGCCTCCTGCACACACCCTACCAGGGATTGAGCTGGCAACCCGGGCATGTGCTCTGACTGGGAATAGAACCGGGAACCTTTAGGTGCACTGGATGATGCCCAACCAATTGAGCCACACCAGCCAGGGCAAAAGTGCTGTTATTTTTACGAATAAGTAACATCAGCATAGTGTTTCACAGGCTGAAATGTACTTCTCACATACATTTATTGGTAAAAATTAGAAAAAGAAAAGATGGGACACTTGAATGGGAAAAGATAAGACAATAAAAAGCAGGGACCATAGCTAAAACAGATACATTTATCATGCATCCTGGAAAAACAAGGAAGCTGAAGTTAAGCAAGGTTAGACCTCAGAACTGCAATCTTTGGTGTCTCAGGAGAGAGTAGGTTTAAAGGAACCAGGGCAGAGCCTCCTGCTAGGTTATTATATACTCTGGCATAACTGCATCACTAACAAAGTCTAAATAACCCTCTGTACTGCAGAAAAGAACAGAGAACACCCCACAGCTACCCTTGCCCAATTTCTCTTCAGCTATGTCAAGCAACATAAATGAATAAAGATTATCCAAAGGTTTTTCTTATATTAAGTATTATTTTGTATTTCCTTAGTCATCACAGACCAATAAGTGGAAGTTAACATTATTTCAATTAACATTTTCAACCACATCATAAGTTAATAGATCTATCATTTATTTATTCCTAATACATGTTGACACTGTATTAAATGCTTGACATACATTTAACAAATTAAAGATTGAAAAAGAAAAAGAAAATGAAGCTTAGAAAACTTAACTTGCCAAAGATCACACTGCCAAAACATTGGTAGTATGACTCCAAATTCTGTGCTATTCCTTAAGAAATATCTTTATCATCAGAAATCAAACTAATACATTTTAAAATTTCAAACATGTTTTCTAGATGGATAATGATTTACAAAGGCCTTGACCCAGTCTCTAGGGGGAATATAATCCTGTAAACATCCAGGTGGCAGAGCAGGACAAGAATGGTTATCTACAGAAGAGGGCATGTTCTCACCCATCCAACACTGTGGAGCTCACATGTCAATGGAGATATGGGAGCCTGTTAAGGGACAGGCTCAGGGCACAGTGACTTTCCTACTGGGTGACCTCCCACTAAGGAGCTTTACTAGGAAGCCCTTATCTGCCCCCATTTGAGGTTTTCTAAGGCCAGGGTTTTTTTTTATACTGCTGACTTTTTATATATTTCTTCAAATTCTTAAGATACTGGCTTGAGCCATGTTATATACCAGCAATTCTTTATTTTATTTTATCTAGTACTTATGACCTTTAATCTTGTATTTTATTGTTTGTCCTTTCTTTTTTTAAAATTGAGGTAACATTTGTTAATAACATTATATAAATGTCAGGTGTACAATACTATAATTCAATATCTGTATACTCTATTGTGTGCTTACTACCGAAAGTCTAGTTTCCATCTGTCACCATATATTTCACCCCATTTACCCATTTTGCTCCCTTTGGTAACCTCCAATCAGTTGTCTGTATCTATGAGTTTATTTTGTTTGTTTATTACTAAATTTACGTAGCTCATCTTTTAGTTGCCTATTTTAACTTGTTTTTTATAATCACATCATTTATTTATGTGTATGTTATGGTCTTTTAATTTAATTGTATGTGGCATACCTAATTTTTACTTTTTGTTTTTTTATATTATATTTAGAAATTTTATTTATAAATTTCCTTATTGAATCCAGACAAGTTAGAAGAATTACTTTTTAAAAGGTTATCTTATTCTTGATTTATAAATGGCGCACCCCGGGAAAGCATGGATGTAGAGATAATAGCCATGGATGTGTTCACAACCTAAATAGAAGAGTTATTCTTCTTCAATTAAATCTCCACATTAACCCTAAATATATGGTAAATACCTTTTCAATATTTTACCTCTCTTGCTCTTTAATATTTTTCTTATTTTTTTTTAACTTGGAAAAATGAAAACCTACAGGCTAAAATAACAATCCATGAAAGTGACAATCCTAAACCCTGAGGGCAACACAACTAAACTGGAATTACTTTCCCTTATTATATAGTAAATAGCTTTCTTTTCAGGGATTATATGCAAAACAAGCCATGTTCTTTGTTATATCTAATCAGTAGACACTGATATAGCAGCATACAGTAAATAGCCAGACATACAAAGATAGGACAGGTAGACATTCTACTTGGGAAATGACTGTCAACCCAACTTCCTGTGGTCAAACTTAAGAAAATACTCCATAATATTTAATTTTCAGAAGAAACTTTTAGAAAGAGATATTATAGACAGTTCACAATCAAGCTTTTGGATACTTCAACTTTTCTAATTATTTTAGGGTCTGCAGCAATAGCTCTTGTTCTCACACTCTCCAAAACAAAACAAAACAAATCAAAACAAAGAGAAACAAGGCAAAACAATTATTAAAAATCCCCCGAACTTAAAGTTTGGTATTATATAAAAGCAGTCTAGCATTTTCACAAAAATACTATTTCCATAAAAGCAAACATTCTGTTATGAAACTTGTTCAGAAATGAAGCAGAAACCAGTTTTGGGGGATTAGGGTGGTGGTAGAGAGTGGTGTGAGAGAGTGTGTGTGTGTCTAAGAGAGGGAGAGCCAGACAGACTTCCCTTATAGACAGACTTCTCTTACATGCAGCCAGAAAATGGTATAATTATAATCCTAGAGAAGTGAAAATTTCAAAGAATAGAAAAAAATCTAACATCCAATATCTTTAACAAATTCCATCACATTTTTTGATCAAAAAAATAAATAAATTTCCCTTTTGTTATATTAAAGGAAGCCTTGTTCCTGTCTTTAAGAGACACAGAGTTCAAATATAGTCAAAATAATCCCTACTGTTCTGGAGGCATGGATTTTATATCTAATTCTACCATTAATATATGTGAATCTGGACATATTTCAGGTGATGTGAACCTGAACAGCTCTATTTATAAAACATAGTTGTCATTTCCCTTAAAATTTCCATGAGAAGAAGAGTATCAAATAGATATTAAAGAGGAGATGGAAGGACTGAAATTTTAAAAAGGCTTGTATCAAATATGTATAAACATAGACTTAACAATTTTACCCTTTTGTGTTTTTCTATCAAAATATCACCAAAATACAGCCGGCTAACCATAAGATAAATGAAAATAAAAACTCGGATGGAAAAATCATGGCAAAAGGACTGGTGTAAACCCTGTTATCCATTTGAATAAAGATTAAACAACCATGAGAATTATGGATTCAGAAAAGAGTGTATTATTAACCTTAATAAGGTAAAATAACATAACTTGTTAAAATTAAGATGGTTGGACAAGAGAGGTTAGAGGAAGTATGAATTCATGCAAATTTCCTTACTGGCTTGGAATCATAGATATTATAAAAACTGAAATGTAATTATAAACATAATAATTCCAATCTATTACAATTCAGATTTTTTAAACTTCAGTGAGATTTATTAAGAGGTAGTATGGTGAAGAAATATTTGAAATTCACCAATTCCTCAGTTTTACATATGCTTCCTAAATGAGACTGAATTTTACATTTATTTTAAAAGCAAGCATTATTTGATCCAATTTTTCTAAAATTATGTTAACCTAGACAGATAAAAAATATCTAGAGTGATAGTCACCAAATGATAATGATTATTTCTGGGTGATAGGACAGACACAGGTAATTTTTAAAAACATCCTTCTGCATAACTTTCTGTATTGCAGGATTTTAAAAAATGATGGATATATATCTTTCACACAAAAAAGTTTTTTAATAAACAAAAAAGCACCTATATTATGTAAATGTGCTTGTTCCATTTCCAGTCAGGGCACATGCCTGGGTTTTGGGCTGGAACCCCAGTGGGGGTGTGTGTGTGTAGGAGGCAGCCGATCAATGATTCTCTCTCACCACTGATGTTTGTATCTCTTTCTCCCTCTCCCTTCCTCTTTGAAATCAATAAAAATATATTTTAAAAAACGTAAAGGAGAAATTTACCCATCTCATAAGAAAACATCAAGTTTATTATTTCCATTGTAACACACGTGGCTAACTATATGTGAAACATTTACCTGCTTCCCATTTCAGACCACCAGGCAGTGAGAAAAAGCCAGGTGGTGTTAAGCCATAGACCACAGCCTGGAGGGGCAGGCACCAGAGGAGTTATGCCATATCATGTTGTCGACTTTACTTCTTAAGACTGCTGTTAAGTCACATCTCATCTCCTTAGTTTCTGCTTTCCTGCTGTAACTGCCACCTGCACAAGTGCTCCACTATTCCTCCTTCAGTTCTGTGTTCTCCCCTTTGCACTCTGGAATCTGGTACAGCCATGCTTCCACCCTGGGTTGCACAGTGGAATCATGGGGGAAGTTTACAACATACTGATGACTGGGTCACAGCCACAGGGACATTAATTTAATTGACCTGGGTGCAATCTGAGTGCTGGGATTTTTCAAAGCTCCCTAGGTGACTCTATGGTGTAGGCAAGGTTGAGAACTACTGTGTCATAATCTTCTTTGACCTTTTCCAGCTTTCTCTGTATCCCTGAGGGTTTTCTTCCAGTTCTTCATGCTCACTTTCTTCCATGGGGAATGGAAGAGATGATAAATGATGACATATCCACAATACCACTACATGGGATACACAAAATCTCAGTCCAAAAAGAACAAGGACATCTAGTATTCACACAGTTAAGTTCTGCAACACAGCCAAATGTAAGAATATAGAGCCTTTTGATAGAACAAAGGACAGGCACTCCTCATAACAACTTTGGGAGTCTTATACTCCTGGGAGCACTAAACAGTGATTAAAATCAGTTGAATTCAACTCAGGTAGCTGAAAGGGCAATAGAAAGAGGATTAATTCCTAGTTTCAGGCCAGAACAGACTTTTAAATGCCTAAGTAATCATTCTCCTACCTCTCTTTGCTGCTGGTTCAAATTATGTGAATTTCTCTGGCAAAGGGCAATTGTCTCTACCATGGTCTCTTCCACATCCTTCAATGAGGGATCCTCTCTGGTAGCTAGATTCAGAAAAATTGTTAACATCACTGAAGAATATATTAATGATAATCTCAAATTTCTGTACACTGAACTCCACTGACAATTAGCATCACAAAGCCACATGGTTTATTTGCTTTCCTATTATGATCCCTTAAAAACAAAATAAAATTGGGACCAATGCTAAAGTCGATAAACAGTATTTATGCAGGACAATTTACTTAATAAATTTATTACTTAATAAATGCCGTTTATTAGGAAACATTTTTAAAACCATGGGGTAAATAAAGAAGAAACTGTAAATTACACTCAAGAACTTACTTTCACCTTGATGTGTTATTTCTTGAAGTTTGCTTTGTAGTCTCTAGGAGGTAAAAGGAACACTTTAATTTCTAATTCACCAAATAATTAAACTGACACTTTTTAAAGAAAAACCCAGGAAACAACGAAGTTATTAGGAATGGTCCGTGTCATTCCAAAGAGAATTCTGGTGTATATAGAATGCATAGCTAGCAGTATATCAAGTGTCACTTATTTTGCTCCATTTATGCTTCTGTTGTGCTACCTACATAGTCATCATTGACATCTCTGAGGCACAGTAATGAGGATCAGAATGTATCCATGCTCTGAGATAAGAAAGGACATGACAAGTCTAACTCCACAGCATGGGGCACAGCCTTGAATGTGAGATATCCTAAATATGCAGTTATAGTGTCCACTGCTCTACTGAATTCTAGATCCTCAGATACTGATATTGCAAAGGCTTCTGAATATACACCGAAGCTGACTTTAATATAGCCTTCTACCAAAAATTTGCTCCTGTTCTTGAGGTCCCTTATAGGTTAATTTTAAGCTAAAAATCATAGAATCATCATTAACCACTCCCTCTCATTCACTTTATACTATATTTAAATGATCAGTAAGTTCTCAAATTCATGTCCTCTTCTCTCTCCACCACCGCTGCCACACATGGCTTAAGCCCTGGCCCTCAAGACACTATGCTAAGTGTAATATCCCTGAAGACACTATGCTAAGTGTAATAAGCTAGACCCAATAAGACAAATACTGTATTATTCTACTTATATACAGTATCTCGAGTAATTAAAGTCATATAGTTTAAAAGTAGAATGGTGGTTTCCAGGGGCAGGGGGGTAGGGAGGAATGGAGAGTAATTGTCTAATGGGTTTGTGAGAAGTTAAAAATATTCTGGAGATGGATGGTAGTGATGGCTGCACAGCAATGTAAATATACATAATGCCATTGAATGGTAAATTTCATGTTATGTATATGTTACAATTAAAAAAATGAAAAAAAATTTTTTTTTCAAAATTTGATAGAACACCAAACTGTTGGTAAAAATGTGAAGCAACCAAAGCACATTTGGTAGGACGTAAAATGGAAAGAGGTCTGATAATGTCTTACAAAATTAAACCTATACGTATCCAGTGACCCAGTAATTCACTCCTTGGTAATGATTCTAGGGAAATGAAAACATTTGTGTACAAAAGTGATTATAGAAGTTTTATTCATAATAGCCAAAAACTAGAACTAGCCCAAGTGTCAATCAATAGAAGAATGGATAAACTGTGGTCTATTCATACAATTATATTACTCACAGTCAATGGGACAAACTACTGATACATCCAATAACAGACACAAATCTCAAACACATTATGCTGAAGCAAGAGGGCTGATATAAGAAAACCTATTAAATGATTCCATTAATATGAATGAATAAAAAAGGTAAAACTAACCCATGGTGGTAAAAAAAAATTAGAAGAGTGGTTATTTCTGGGGGAATGGGAATTGAAATTGACTGAAGAAGCATGAGGGAAATTTCTGGTAATATTCTCCACCTTGTTAGGGACTAGGATTAGACAGGTGTGTGCATTTGTCAAAACTCATCAAATAGTACTTTTAAGACTTCTGTATTTTGTTGTATGTAAATTTTACCTTTAAAAAGTACCACACAGTGACAGGCATGATAAAAATATTGAGGTAAAATGTACTATTGCCTGCAACTTACTTTGAAACATAATAAATTAAAATGGATTGATGAAAATTTATGCAATATTATATGTCAATTATATTTCAAAAAAGAGATAGACTAATGCAATGAATAGAGGGACACATTGAAACATGACAAAGCAAATATAGTAAAATGCTACCTTAAGCATTATTGAAAAGGCACCATGAACATCTCCTTTCTTTTCTAATAGATAGGCAGTGACTTCATGAAGTTGATACTTCTGGGTAATCTAGAAAAGAAGAAAGATAAAGATTTGTGTTCACGAATCTTGCTTGTGAAGTGAGAGGTCCTATTAAAAATGAAACAACCCCAACATGATACTAATTAATGAATCCATATCTTGGTATTATGCTACTTTACAGTATAATATGCAAATACTTGACTTTTGGTCTTATAGTGCCCTATTTTTTATTCTGACTAGACCAAGTGCATTCATTCCCCCCCTTATTTATTTAAAAAATTGTTATGCACACAAATGAGGAATATCCATTGAAGAAAAGGCAACACATATTGTATTATTACATAAGTAGTAATAATATAAACCAGAAATTGATAAGTATAATTATACACAAAGTATTTAGAACAAAATGACAATGAAAACACTATGTATCAATCTGTGGGCTCTAAATAAAAATTAAAAAACTAAAAGGGTCTAATAAGTAAAAAAGAAATACCAATTAAGCTTAAACAAAAGAAAATAATGCCATCGAAAGAAACAATAGATTTAACAAATCCAAAATTATTCTTTGAAAAGATTTATAAAAATGGCATTTTTAAAAGATAACCATGTTTCTGAATGTGAAGACAATACTATAAGATGTCAATCTTCCCCAAATTAATCTATAAATTCAATGTACTCTTTTCATCAACATTCCAGAAGAATGTTTTTTAAAGGAACCTGACAATCTGATTCTTAAATTGATGTAGAATAGTAGGAGGTCAAGAGTAGCCAAAGAGTTTTAAAGAAAAACTTAATAAGAAGCCTTATTTTAAACCTATATTAATAAAATATGTGGTATGAGTATAAGAAAACACAAATAATCAAAGGAACAGAACAGAATCCACAAACAGATCCATGTACATTTGGAAGTTGGTGTATGACAGTATCGCATCATAAATCAGTGAGGAAAGCACAATAAAATGCCACATGGACCATTAGCCATCCACATGAAAAAATATAAATCCCTCTCTTGATCTGTATACAAAAATAAATTCCAGATGGATTAAAAGCCTAAATGTAAAAAGCTAACCTATAAAATTCATAAAAGAGGACAGCCTTTATGCCATCAAAGTCAAAAGGTAAAGACTGATACCCCCAAAAATTAAAAATTAAAGGAAAAGACTGATAAATTAAAAGGAAGTCACTAAGCCCTGGCTGGGTGGCTCAGTTGTTTGGAGCAAAAGGTTGTGGGTTCGACTCCCAGCCAGGGTACATACCTAGATTGCAGGTTTGGTCCCTGCAGGACATGTGCAGGAGGCAACCCATCAATGTGTCTCTCTCACATCAATGTTTCCCTCTCCCCGCCCCCTTCCTTTCTCTCTAAAGTCAATTTAAAAAAAACAACAACATATCCCTGAGTGAGAATTTAAAAAGTCACTAAAAACCAAGTTGAAAGATATGCCCTAGAGACTGAAAGAAGACATCAACATATAAAATCAGCACAAGATTAGAGATCTAGAAATTAAAAATAACTTCTATAAACCAGTAAGAGAAGGGCAAACAGCTGGGAAAATGATAGGAATAGATAATTCAGAGAAAAGAAAATCTAACGGGTCATTAGACATATGGAAAGATAGTCAATGTCATTAGTAATCAATGATCCCCATCCCACTGGCAAAAATTAAGAAGTCTAAAAATACTAGGAATTAGCAAGGATGTGGAAAAACAGCAAATATCAAACACTGATGATGAGAATGAAACAAATAGGAAATCAACTTGGCAAAATCACTAGAATTAAACTACTGGGTTGTCCAAAGAATTCCACTTCCAGGTATATTACTTAGAGAAACCTGATGGCTAATGTAACATTGTTTATAATGGCAAAAGACTGGAAATAAATGGAATATCTATAATCTATACTAATAAAAGAGAAAGATGCAAATTGACCACCCCTCCACGATGCCCACAAGCCATACCCACCAGCCAATCAGGAGTGAGTATGCAAATTAACCTGACAAAGATGGAGGGTTAATTTGCATAAGCAGGTGTCAAGCGCCCCGGGAGGCAACGGCGGCCTTGGGCTCCCAGGACCTTTGCCGACCCCGGGAGGCAAGGCTGGCTGTGCCTAGCCATGCCCGCGGGCTCCTGGGACCATCACCAGCAAAGAGCAGAGCGGGCGGAGAGCGGGAGGTTTGGAAGACTTGGCAGAGCAGGAGGCCGCTGGAAATAGAGCAGAGCGAGAGAGAGGGCGGCTTGGAGGGCGTGGCTCCCTTTGTCACCCCAGCTTCCTCATCATAGCTGTGGAAACTGACAGCAGGGAGGAGGAAGTCCCACCCCCACAGAATCAGCCAGAATCAGCCGTTGGTCAGACAGCTCTTAGCGGCCTGACAGCCAGGACTCTCATTCACCTGCATCTCAGACCATGACAGTAGAGAGGTGGGACTATGTCTAAAGAACAACTGTTGACACAACGTAGTTCTGCAGCCAAAAGATGCTGGCATTATCGACAGAAAATGTCTGAAGAGCAACGTGCGTCTGATCTTGAAAGAAGGCAGCGCCTGTGACAGAATGTATCTGAAGACCAGTTATTGGAAAAACGTCGCTCTGATGCCAAAAAACACTGGCATCATCGACAGAAAATGTCTAAAGACCAACATGCCTTTGATGTTGAAAGAAGGCGGTGGCAACAACAGAATATGTCTAGGGAACAGTCATCAACAAGTACTACCAATTCTGGTAGGAACTGCCTTCTCAGCAAAAATGGAGTACATGAGGATGCAATTCTTGAACATAGTTGTGGTGGAATGACTATAGATGTGAATTTCGCCTATCACTAAATTTCTCTAATGAAAAACCATCCAATGGGAAATTTACTCAGTGTTGTAGCAAAGGGAAAGTCTGTCCGAATGATATACATTTTCCAGATTACCCGGTATATTTAAAAAGATTAATGACAAATGAAGATTCTGACAGTAAAAATGTCATGGAAAATATTCGTTCCATAAATAGTTCTTTTGCTTTTGCTTCCATGGGTGCAAATATTGCATCACCATCGGGATATGAGCCATACTGTTTTAGAATACAGACAAGTTTATCACCGTACTGGAACTTTACATCCTTCGGATGGTGTTTCTCGAAAGTTTGCTCAACTCTGTATTTTGTATACAGCCAAAGCTACAAGTAAAAGATTAGCAATGCCAGAAAACCAGGGCTGCTCAGAAAGACTCATGATCAACATCAACAACCTCATGCATGAAATAAATGAATTAACAAAAATCATACAAGATGCTACATGAGGTAGAAAAGGAAGCCAAATCTGAAGCAGCAGCAAAAGGTATTGCTCCCACAGAAGTAACAATGGCAATTAAATACGATCGTAACAGTGACCCAGGTAGATATAATTCTCCCCGTGTAACTGAGGTTGCTGTCATATTCAGAAACGAAGATGGAGAACCTCCTTTTGAAAGGGACTTGCTCATTCATTGTAAACCAGATCCCAATAATCCAAATGCCACTAAAATGAAACAAATCAATATCCTGTTTCCTACATTAGAGGCAATGACATATCCTATTCTTTTTCCACATGGTGAAAAAGGCTGGGGAACAGATATTGCATTAAGACTCAGAGACAACAGTATAATCGACAATAATACTAGGTAAAATGTAAGGACACAAGTCACACAAATGCAGTATTATGGATATCATCTTTCTGTGCGGGACACGTTCAGTCCTATTTTAAATGCAGGAAAATTAACTCAACAGTTTATCGTGGATTCATATTCAAAAATGGAGGCCAATCGGATAAATTTCATCAAAGCAAACCAATTTAAGTTTCGAGTTGAAAAATATAGTGGTTTGATGGATTATCTCAAATCTAGATCTGAAAATGACAATGTGCCGATTGGTAAAATGATAATACTTCCATCATCTTTTGAGGGTAGTCCCAGAAATATGCAGCAGCAATATCAGGATGCTATGGCGATTGTAACAAAGTATGGCAAGCCCAATTTATTCATAACCATGACATGCAACCCCAAATGGGCAGATATTGCAAACAATTTACAACGCTGGCAAAAAGTTGAAAACAGACCTGACTTGGTAGCCAGAGTTTTTAATATTAAGCTGAATGCTCTTTTAAATGATATCTGTAAATTCCATTTATTTGGCAAAGTAATAGCTAAAATTCATGTCATTGAATTTCAGAAACGTGGACTGCCTCACACTCACATCCTCTAATTAATTCCCTTAGTAGGGAAATATATAAATTGTGGCATAATCATTCAATAGGCTATTACATGACCATTAAAATGAGTGAACTATATCTACATGTATAAAAATTGACAGATTAAAAAATTAATAACAAAAGCAATTTGCAATAGGATATGTACTGTATGATACCATTAATACAAATTTTAAAAATAATAAAACTGCATCTTTTATTTTATAGATAAATACATACAGGGTTGGGCAAAAGTCAGGTTACAGTTGTATGTGAAACAGTTTATTCTTGAATTATTATGTTTTAATTATTGTATTTGTTTCCAAGCAAACAACTATAGACCTACTTTTGCACCACCCTGTATATATGAAAAATAAACAACCTGGATAAACTTCCCACCTTCAGGCTAGTGGTGACCTCAGAGGAGAGAGGGGGACATGACAAATAAAAGATGCTTTATTTCTAAAACAAAACAACAAATATCTGAAGCCAGTATGGCAAAATGTTAACATTTATAAATTGGCTTGGTGGGTACATATGCATTTGATATTCTTCATGCACATTTCTACATATTTGAAATATTTCATAATTTTAAAAAATTTAAGTGTGTGGACAGTTCAGGAGGTGGATGCAAAAAATACAGATTATTATTTCACGAGTACTGACATAAAAGAAAGGAGACATAATGGTAGGTTACATTTTAAACAGGGAACATGCCAACCTCTTATAGTATATTAGAATATGTATATATGTATATACATTTTCACTTTCATTTGGAAACAGGTGAAAATAAGGGAAATGAATCAAGGCAATGACTGTGTAAGTCTACTGAACTGCTTTCAGCCTAGTAAGTCTTATTGCATAAGAGGACTATGTAACCATCAGTGCCTGCAAATAAGAGTTTGGTTTTTCCCTTTTAATACTTTTACTATATTCATTTTTATATGTTTATCATGTTGATTAGAATGTCAGTGAGCCTTGATTAATAACAATGATGGACATGTGCTGTTTCTGACTTTACTAGAAAACATGTGAAAGCAGTTTATTCCATAGCAATGAAAAGCATGCACTATGGATCAGACTATCTGGGTTCCATCTCAGATGCTACCACTTACTAGCTAAAAACTTAGGCAAGTAATTTAATATGTGAGTCTCCCTTTGCTTAACTGTAAAATGGTGAATGATTAGGAAAAGTGTACTCTGGCTTTCTCCCCATTATTGGTCTTACCTGGATAGTTTCTTCTAGGCGGTAGCCCTCAAGGACTTGTAATGTCTCTATGACTTGGGTTGGGCTGAACTGACACAACAGCTCAATGAACTGTTCTGTAATACAGGGAGATATCTGCAGCAACTCCTGATTTACATGAATACCTTCCCTAAAAACATAAAAAACAAGAGTAACATCATTTAATCACATCTATAATTAAAGCTTCAGGTAAAAAGGATGCTATCTTAAAACCAAGACTAACTTTTGGTCAGGTAATATCATGAATTAAAAATCTCACTGTTACTCAGATTATTAGGGTGAACTGTATATCATATCAGAAGCGCTCTAAATCACAATACTGCTCAGTTTACATTGAGTAATTAAGGAAATAATAGTCAGTAGAGGCTTCAATAAGTAAATCATACAAAAGTTATACTGTTGCTCTAAAAGAAACAGATGACCCAATTCAGTTTAAACAATTTGATTTGTAACTATATACATGTATATATAAACCATCTTCCAGTCTCAGCATCTCTACTATGCTTCCCTTATAGTACCAGTCACACTGTTGTAATTCTTTAATTACTTCTCTAAAAGACTATAAACTCTGTGAGGGTAGGTACCAGTTTATCTCCTCACTAATTAATTCTCAAAGCCTACAACAGTGTACCTTTACTGAGTACCCACTTGCTATGTCCCAAGACTATACTAATTTTGACAGCCATTAAAGTTAGCAGTGGGGTATACGGCAAAGCAGGTAGCTAATAGATGACTAATACAAAGAGCTCTGAGAACTGGATATAACAAGTTGTATTTATGAGCAAGACTGATAAGCAACAGTCAGAAATGGATGTAAACTCATCAATGATGCAATTTACTTATTAACGTTCTGATGATGTTGATGCTGCCTAATTGTGTCCCAGCAGACAGATTATTTCCCAAATGAATGCATCAAAATCTGTTCATTCGGGTGATTTGCTTGGTTTGATGCATATTCACACCTTCAGTATTTGTAAAGGGTTTTGCCAATAAATGCCTGGAAAGAATTAAATACTGTGATTCATCAACAGATGCTTATGTCTAATCTTAATTTGCTCCATAGTCTTGCATTTATAAGACATATTAACAGAAGTATGATATAGAGAAAATATTAACATCGCCTACAATATGGTGTAAATATCTGAAAAAAACACTGGCTCACTTTAATGTCCAGAAAAACTGGTTAGCATTCCCTTTTCTCTTATACCTAATAGTGTTCTACTGAGACACAACATTCATCCTACCTAAAAACTATCATTTTCCTGGGTTTGTCAGTGCATCTTCTATTTTCTTCATGTAGATAGAATTTATTCCGAGCCATATCTGGCTTTGTTGCCCTAGTCCTTGTAATTTTCACCCCTCTATTCTATATTTGGTTTCCTCCATTTGAAGGCAGTCCAATTTACCTTTCCCAGTCATTTAAGTTCAATTTAATGTACATTTACTGGGCATGTACTTATTATGTGCCAAGGCGACGCTAATGCCGGGGGAACAACAATGAATGCAATGGTCTTTGTTCTCAAAGTTTATAGTGTAGTTGGCCACAGACATTTAACAGATAATTTTCAAGTTATGTGGAAAGAATACTAAGATGGTGGTCTACCCAGGGAATAGCCAGTCACTTAACAAACTCCTGCATTCAAGGCAGCTGTGAAACACACACACACACACACACACACACACACACACACACACACACACACACACAAGAAGAAAATAACACTTCATCTTTGGGATTTACAGCCAATTTGAGAAGATACTGAGTTAGCCCATTAGCAAGTATAGAAAGCCCTAAGCAGCAAAACTTAATGAGTTAATCACCCAACTTCTGGTCAGGACTGAGTGTCACAAAGCTCTTAATTTGGGAAAGATTTCCTGCATCTAAATATAATTCCTCCTCCTGTAACTGAAGACTCTTATTAGAAAAAAAAGTCCTGTTTATCATCATTTTCAGAAAATAGTAAGTCCTCATGTAAAGAACGGTGCCCTGGCCTGAACCAATCCTTTCTTTTCTTTTGCTAATAACTTTCTTGTCCCACCTAGTTTGTATCAATAAAAACCTTCCATTTTATACAACTTCATGGATCATCTCTCTGTTTACTAGGTGGGATGCTCTTGATTCAAAATCATTCAATAAAGCCAATTAGAACTTTAAATTTATTCAGTTGAATTTTCTTTAACAGGGACAAAGAATATATATGAGCATTAAGCTAGTTATATCCTCTCACTATCATTCGATCATACACACAGATATACGTGCGCTGACGGGGTTAAGTACAGGCCTCCCCAAGACATGCTACTTTGGCATGAAGAGTATTTTTCAAATGTTTTAATTGATTTTAAAAAGAATAGAAGGGAGAGGGATAGAGAGACAGCAACATCAATGAGAGAAACATCTGCCTCCTTCATGCCTAATGGTGATCAAGCCCTCCACGCGGGCATGTGCCCTGACCAGGAATTGAACTGGGGACCTCTTGGTTCAGTGGTTCTCAACCTTCCTAATGCCGCGACCCTTTAGTACAGTTCCTCATGTTTTGGTGACCCCCAACCATAAAATTATTTTCGTTGCTACTTCATAACTGTAATTTTGCTACTCTTATGAATTGTAATGTAAATATCTGATATGCAGGATGCATTTTCATTGTTCGCGACCCACAGGTTGAGAACAGCTGTCTTGGTTCATGGGTCGATGCTCAACCACTGAGCAACACTGGCCAGGTGGCATGTATATCATTTTGAGCTGAAGGCAAAAGAGACTCTGTAGGCTCAAGAGAAATTTTTACCTTTCCCTTAAAGAATTTAAAGTGGACCCTTGCCCATGTAAGAGTGACTACCTACTTATATGGCAGGGCAAACCGAATTACTGAACATCTGCTCTTCTTGTCATCCTGTGAATTACCCTCCTCCCATCTGAAACCCCAGGCATCTGACCTCATCATGTCATATGTACCTCATTTCACCTTTCTGTCTTGAACCTCTCATGCATGTAGGATCTCTGATTCTCATGTCTGTGTGGTTCCCATACACATATGTAAAATTAAATTTGGTTATTTTCTCTTGTTAATCTGTCTCATGTAGCTTTAATTATTAGGCCAGCTGAAAGAACCTACAGGAGTAGAGGAAAATTTCTTCCTCCCCAACAGTGCATACTATTTCATGCTATGTATTTTTTCAGTTTGGCATTATTTTTACCTTTACATAGTCATGTTTGCAATTTGGTATTCAATTATGCTCATATACCCTAGTGTTTATTTAGCCATCGCCCCCATTGACTTTTTAAAATAGCTTTTTCACTATATAAATGCTAAGGTGGATATTTAAATATTAACTACTTTTTCTTTCACAGAATTTCCTTAAATGAAATTACTGGATCAAAGCACATGTGTAACTTTTGAGCTCTTAATACATATAGATAAATTGCTCCAAGAAACAAAGTGGACTAAGAGGAAGCAATATATATTCAAAGGGAGGAATGACAATGTGTAGTGTATCCTATGACCAATTAATTCAGGACTGCTGCAGAATAAAGGGGGGAAGAGAAAAGCCAGGTGAGAAAATAAAGCTGGATATGCCTGAATCAGATCAAGAAGGGCCTGTACACCACGAGGAGTTTGGACTTTACCTTGGATAATGGGAACTGAAAGAAGTGTGTGAAGGGGAAAGGAGACATTGTCATTATCTGTCTTTTTGAAAATGGAAGTAGAATTAGGAAGGCTGGTTAGGAGACGAGCAAGAGAGACCAGGAGAGAGATGCTGAGTGCCTGAGCCAGGATAGTGTGGGTAGACAAGAGGGGGACTCACATAGAAGAGAGAGCCACAAGGTAGATTTTGGGTGACTGACTGGTTCTCTGTGGTGTGGCTGAGAAGGTGGAGTGGAGTGGGGAAAGTGAGAAATTTATCACTTGGGATCTTTTTTTTAAAGACACTTATACTAAAACTGCCTGCTTACTTGTCAACTTCCTCCATCAGAATGGAAGTTATATGAAGGCAGTGCCCCATCTTATTCAACACTTTACCTCCTGTGCCTGTCACAGTACTCATTATACTGTACTTACTAGGTACATTGCTAAATGAAATAAATGGGCAGATAATGCCATTTGCTAAGAGAGAAAATAAAGGAAAAAAAAACAGGTCTGGATTTTAAAGTGAATATAATTTTTAGTCATTTCAAATTCTCACACAATACATAGCAAATAATCTTATGATAAAGAATTACTGAATAAAGAAATTAAGTAAATGCATGAAAGTTATTTTCTATCTATCTATATCTATCTATCTATTTATATACCTACCTACCTACCTACCTATTTATCAATCTATGTATCAAGTCTGGAGATTAGGAGATTATGATGTGTTTGAATTTAAAAGGTTGAATTTGAGCTGTTGGCAAAATATTAACCAAAGATACGGTCTCTGGTGGTAGGCCTGGCCAAGTTGATAGGCATTCATAAAGTAGAAAAGTATTTTCATATGTCAAAGTTTATTAACATATATAATGTTCTAATTTTTAAACTTTGAACTATGCTATTTCAACACTGTGTCAGTATCTTAAAATGTACCTCCAAAATTATACATAAAAACACTAACAGATTCAAGTTTAATCCAATGCATAACCATTTCCATAATCTATGTTTTGCTCCTTGGCAAAGACACTCATTCTCTTAGCAATGCTCAATTTTTACTTTGACTAAAGATTTAAAAATATAATCCGACATTTTTATGTATTTTTCTATGAAAAAATTATAACATATTTCAGAGGCCTCTGGGACATTGCTAACAAGGCTAAGTTGATATTACCAAGAAAATCATACTGAGGAAAACACTGTGAATATAAATATATTTGCACATTTTCCTTATTTCTTATGATGCTTATAGCCTCATAAAAACCATTAGTGTCCTTTCGTATTATCCTTCAAGCATCCCTGCTGCACAAAAGACCAACCTGCTTATGGATGTAAATGTATCAGAACTCCTGTGAGAATTCTTGGCCAGCAGGAATGCAGAGAGGGAGTGCGTGTTATGGGGGAGGGTGGGGGAGGGGGGAATGATATGTAGCAGCTGTCCCTGTCACAGGGTGATGTGATCATAAGTTCCTAGGAAGGGAATTAGAAGAAGATGCAAATCCTTCCT